GCCAGACTTTTCGGGCGAAACTCGGGGATTGGGGGAGAAACATCGCCCGCGACACCTCATGTCTCCCATGGTCCCAGCATGCTCCCACACCAGATGGTTCGCAGTGCGAAGGCCTTTTCTGGCGGTCGCCGGGGATGCCTACGGCCCACCTCGCGCCACGCGCCCGTCGCTGCGCCGTCGCCGCGCCGCTGCGGGCAGAAGCGCACGGTAACGAGCGACACGACTGGGCATAGACGGCGAGGAGGGGGCAGAGAAAGAGGCATACTCGTTCGGGAGATGGCGATGAGAACGGGGGTGATGGATTCTGCGTGAATCAGGTGCAGCCTGAAACGAGGGCACACCTTCCTCTTGAGATGAAGAACGACCAGGTGGGGCAAGTGGGCATAGATAGCGAGGACGTGCGATCACAAGACAAAATACGCTGACCGGTGGATGCTAGGCGGGAAGGCATGTCGGTGAGAAGCTGCCAAACCGTTGAGACTCCCTCGCCCCCGCTATCTTCCATGTTATAACCCTCTGATTGGGCTGCGGAGGAGGGAGAGGGCAAATATGAGAAGGCGCAGGACGAACAGAAGGAACCATATGAGGAGGAGACGGCGAAGAGGACGGGGAGGGCAAGGAGGACGAGGAAGGCGAGGAAGACAAGGGACAACCAAAACCAGGAGGATCACCTGGCTAGGCGACGGGTCGCGCACAGAAAGCCCCCAGAGGTAATACTGGCTGGCATCAAAAGGCCACTCCCGGGTAGTCTGGGGAGGCGTCAACACGTCAACCCTCAGGTGCGGAGAGCCTCAGAGGAGCCAACGACGGCGGCCCTGGGGTGTTAAGACAAATCACTTATGATTACTGTGCATGTTCGGGCAAAGGTCCTCACTTTCTGTTGTTGTGATTAAAGGGTGACCTGTTGTTATGGAGCGGTCGACAGCAACGTTTCGAGCCGTCCAGGTCAGCGTCTCCGCACTCGTGACCAGCTCCAGAGCAGCTACGTGCGCGCAAAGCATAACAATAGTCAAATCAACTAAGCAATCGGGCTGTCAACAAGGGCATCACTGAGATCGATGATCCCCGAAGCCTTTGGGGACCCGAGGAAGCCCTGTGGAAACGCAGGAAGCCCAAGGATCCAATACATCTGCCTGCAGATATCCTGGGCTCGTTCGCTCAATTAAGATTGAATCCAGAAGCAGCTCGCGTTGAGGCCAGCGGCGACCACCTACAGGGGCCCACCGTGGAAGCCCGATCGTACATTTCTCCCGAGCAGGCGGGGTCGGAAGATCGCCCCGCCCACTCGTTGCATGTGCGATGCACTTGCGTCGAGCTCTTGATCGCGCCGCGTCGCTGATGCAGCGGCGCTGCGGCAAAATCGTCCAAACCCACCAGCCCAGGCCCCATTCCAGAGGGGTCCATTCCAGAGGGGTGAAGGACCACCCTTATCAGAAACACCCCTGTGAACAGATCCGTCTATTCAACCAGCTGCGGAAGGAGTCATGCAGCGCAGAATTCTTGAGTGAACGTTAAGGGGTGTTCAACAATCGCTGGCTGTGTGGATCTGGGCGGCTTCCCTCCCGCGACGTGAGGACAGCCTGCTGACTAACTCGGAGATGACAAGTCGACATAAACAGAAACTTCTGGAGGTCCGCGAAGACTTCTGGGATCGGGCCTGGGCGCCCCTCTCCATCTCGCGGAGCGCGCCAAGGGCGGCGCTGGAGGCGCCGCAAAAGAGGCCCAGCGCCAAGCCAAGAAATCCGTGCGGAGCTCGGGCAATTTATGCTTTCTGAGCCTTGCCAGCCTCACGTACCTAGCTTCCGCCGCTGCAGTCTCTGGACTCTCCCGGGCCAAAGGCGGGTTGCAGCGGTCCAACTTGCGGCGAGTGCCAGCGTGCCTCTGGGCCCCCTGTCCGCCGCTTTGCCCCTGCTGCTCCTGCTGCTGATCCGCCTGCTCATCCACAAATATACAGCGTGACTACGACTCTCTCTCCTCCCCGGATTCCATGCTGCCCCGCGCTTCGGACTACTCTTGCTCATCCTGCTGATGCTCCTCTGGTTCCTCGTGCACTTCTTCAGTATCCTCCTTGTGCTCCTCATGTAACTCCTGCCCCGCTGAATGCTCATCCCTCGAATCCTTCGGCTCCTCTTCCTCCACCTCTTCCTCCTTCTCCTCTTCGTCCTCCCGCTCCACACCACCACAACCACCATCATCATCAGCAGCAACAGTATCATCATCAGCAGCAATATCATAATCTTCATCATTATCCTCATGCTTATCCTCATCCTCACCACCACCGTCGCCGCACCGCTATCATGACCACTCTCATTCTCTGCTGCTCCTCCTCCTCCTCCTCCTCCTCCTCCTCATCATCATCATCATCATCATCATATTCCTTTTACTCACTCCTCATCCCCCCTCCCTCTCATCCTCGCTTCCTCAAGCTCGGGCTCGAGCCGTTTCAGGATCCTGCCGGCTCGCGCCTTCCCCAGGGCTGGTGGCCATTGTGCTGCTGGCTTGAGCGTTTCCGCCAGGTGTGCGGCAGTGAACGATGGGGGGATACCGGTGCATGGTATCAACGGATCCCGAGTTGCGCATCTTCGTGCCAGCGCACCTCGTCAACGGCGACCTCGGGGCGCGCGTTGCAGCGTTTGCAGCGCATTTCGGCTCACTAGACGTTGTTCTTCTCGATGGCGGACTCGCAGCGCCGGTTCTGCCACCCGCCGCCGCCGCCGCCCCCGGCACATGGCTGCCGGCAGCCCGCAGAGGTGGAGCAGCTCGAGCAGGCGCCGGTGAAGCAGCTCCCGCGTTGGGAGCGCCTGCGCCTCGCTGTGGAGGCGCAGAGAGCTTCGGAGGTGCAGTCCGACAAGCAGGTGAAGCCGCAAGTGGAGGTTCTGGTGATCTCGCCCTTTTCCCCCCCGCCTGGGGATTTCAGATCGTATCCCAGCCCGGTGGCTACGGTGCAGGCGGTTGCGCCTCCCAGGGCCATGGCGGCGGATGCGGCGAGTTCTTCGGCGGAGCAGGGTACCACTACGAGCACTACCATTCCACCGGCGCCCAAGAAGAGGCGTCGCAAACACATGTTGAGCGACTACAAGCGCATCCTCGAGCGCATGACGGAGGACATGCCTACTGGTCAGGATCCGGACAGGACGGAAATCCAAGCTTTGGCGATGGGGTGGTGGCCTCCTTCGCCGCTTGTTCCGGTCACGCCGCCGTCACCTCCGACTCCGCCAGCAGGAACGAGGATCCCACGGACGCCACCTCGGAGGTGAAGACCTTCTACATCGGCGACGGGTCCTGTCCCGATGCAGGTGGTGAAGGTGCAGCCCCCGACATGTCAGCCCTTAGTGGCGGTGTCACGCTTGACGGCTCTGGCACGTCAGCCGTCAGTGGCGGTGCCTCGGAGTCGCCTCTCGGTGTAGGCACGTCAGCCCAGAGTGGCGGTGTCCTGGGCATGTCAGCCCATAGTGGCTGTGTCCATCACGAGTGGGATGATAGTTCCTCGTCTTTTTCTGTACCCTCGCTGGCTGCTGGCGCTACGGAGGTGGCCCCGAAGAGGAAGAAGAAGAATCGGCGCAAGAATAATAATAATAATGTGAGTTCGCATGTGACCGAGCCCGGTCCGGAGCAGCTGCAGGTTTCTGGCGCTCCTCCGGACGCGATGCCTTCCATTTTTGAGGCCTCCCGTGAGGACCTCGCCACGGACATCCAGTCTGGAGTTTTTTTTTCACAAGATGCGAAAGAATTGGACGACACTGACGTTGCCTTGCTGGGCCGCTTCGCTGACGGCGAAGCTGTGCTCTCGGAATTGCAGCAGCAGCCGTCGCTGAGGGCACCGGCTTTGGAGGTCGCCTTTCGGCTGATGGCAGCAGGTGCGAATTCGAATGTTGCTTTCCTGCCAATTGTGCAGGGCCTTGCGACGCAGCTGACATGATGTCCACTCTGGGTTTTTTTATCTTAGCGAATGCCTGACTTCGTGATACCCTGGCTTTTATGCACTTTCATATTTTCCTGCTTGCCAATCTCTCCGGAAGCTTGTCACAGCAGCGGCCTGCAGCAAACAAACTCTCATCCTCGCTCCTCCTCCTCGGCCCACCAGTCATCCCTGCCCCCTCCCCTCCCCTCCTCCTTCCTGAACCCCTCCTGCCGCCCTGCCCTGGGCCCGGCGGCCACCTGCCCGTGCAATGGGGGGCCCATCCTTCCAACCCGCGCGCCCGAGTCCGTGGGCCACGATGGGCGCCGAATCCCCGATCGTGCCCCGAGATCGGCGACGAGTCCCGAATCGTGCCCCGAGACCCAGAAGGCCGAGCCGCGCTGGGCCGTGATGGCCCGCCGCCCACGCGCCGCCGACCCGCGGCCGACGGGCGCGCACCCGGCGCGCTCGCCGGCGCGCTCGCGGGCCCGCGGGCCGCGGGCGGCCAGCGCCGCGCGCCCCGCGCCGCCGCGAGGGGCGCCCCTCTCGGCGGAGGGCCGCGGAGACGCCTCGCGGCGTCCTCGAGCTCGCCGCTGCAGCCGACGCTGCCGTGGGTCCTCGCGGGTGCCGTCGCAGGCGTCATCGTCGTCGGGCACGGCTTGCGCTCGGCGTCCTGGAGCCAGTCGCCACCGCCGCGTCGACGTCTTCGTTCGAGGACCGAAGCCCGATCCTCGAAGTCCTCGAGCGCTTCTGGTTGATTGATCTCGGGCCTCCGAGGGCCTCCGGTGGCCTCGAAAAGTTTCCCAGGGCGGCCTCTGTGGACCTCGGGGGGAGCGTCGCCATTTTCGTCGGACACGGCGGGCGCGGGCGCTGTCGTCGCCATCGCTGCCGCCGCTGTCCCCGCCGTCGTCGTCGTCGTCGCAAACACCCGCAGCCGCTGCTGCTGTCGTCTTCGCCGTCGCGGACAGCAAAACGTCGCTCGACGTCGTCGCCACCATCGCCGCCGTAATCATAATGCTCGTGCTCGGCGTCCTCTTCCTCCACCTGGACGTCTCTCTCCGTCACGGCTTCCTGTTAATGATATCCATCCACATTAACATCCGCTGCCGCGTCAGAATCCTCGTCCTCCTCCTTTTCATGCACTTCCTCCTTCGGCCTTCACGGCGGGGGCCCCCGCGGGGGTTTCCGACCGGCGGCAGCCGGCGGGACCAGAGGCGACGGGGCGGCCTGCACGCTGGGCGCGCCACTCCGACCTCCGGGAGGTACGTCTTCTTCCGAATTTTAGATGCGGGGCCATTTTTATATACGAGTAGATCTGTTTAGATCTGCTTCGATACGTTTCAATCTGGCGCCCATCGCTGGACAACATGTTCACCACAAATCATTATGAATAGATACGGCGCCATGTCTCCTGCGCAAGCCCAAGGTCGACCACTATCGCTCCTCACTCCTCTTGGATCCTCCTCATCCGCCCTCCTCGGTGCTCAGCTTCTCTTGTCTTCTTTCGCCACATTCTGAATGCGGTTCTTGTTCCCCACATCCTGGGTGAGGTTCTTGTTTTCCTAGAGCGCCCTCTCCGTTTCCTTCTTCTCCTTCTCCTTCTCCCGCCTCCCAAATATGCCATACCAGTGCGTAGCATACCAATACCACGCGTATCTCCCATACCATACGTACCACACCACACCTACCGTACCAGACCTACCATACCGTACCATTCCAAACCTACTATACCACACCAAACTTACCAGATCAAGCCACACTATGCCATTCCTACCATACAAGACCTGCCACACCATATCATACATACCACACCATACCACGCCTACAATACCCAAGCTACCATACCACGCAAGAGCGAGGCCAATATCGGGATAGCAAATTCGTTACAAGGGTTCGTCCTGTTGGCGCGTATTGACGAATCACTTGAAGGCCTGCTGGTTGTCTCGAGGGTCGTCTCGGGGCAGAGGGCTCGATTTTGTTGTTCGAGTTCCCCCTTTTGGGCCCCCCTTGGACCTTAAACAAAAAATGCCCCTTGAACCGTCATGGGAGCCTGTTGGGCCTTCTCAAGGCCCTCGTGGGTTTGTCATGGGCCCTCTTGAGGGGCCCATTGGGCTATCACTGGGCGATTTGGAGGCATCTTGGGCCGCTTTGGAATATTCATCGAAAAATGCGTTACTGTTTTTTTCCCGGGGAACCATTTAGGAACATGGTTGAAGCCTTCCGGAAGCTTCTGAAACGATCCAAGAAACGCAGTGAGACAGATTGGAGCGTTCTTGGGCCGCCTCGGACCCCCTGGGGCTCTCACGCAAGCGCCATACGCTCCAGGGACGAACGGAAAACAGGCGGAACCCTCCCCCCTCCATGGTGCATCCCTGCCCCTTTCAGCGCCCCATCATCGCTAAGCTCCCCCATTCCCTGCGTCATGTTTCTGCGCCTCCTGCTCTTGGCTGGTCCCCCACCAACACGCCATCGTCTCTCATTCGCAGTCGACCTCATCCTCCATCCCTCTCCCCCTCCTCCTCCTTCTCCTCCTCCTCCCCCATCCTCCTCCTTCTCCTCCTCCCCCCCCTCCTCCCCCTCCTCCTCCTCCTCCTTTTCCTCCTCCTCCTCGGCTCCTCTTCAACCCCTCCTCCTCCCCGTCCCCCTCCCGCTCCCCCCCCCGTCCCCCCCCCCCCCCCCTCCCCCCCCCCTCCTCCCTCCTCCTCCTCCTCCTCCCTCCGCCTCCTCCTCCTCCTCCTCCTCCCTCCTCCTTCCTCCTCCTCCTCCTCCTCCTCCCTCCTCCTCTCCTCCTCCTCCTCCTCCTCCTCCTCCCCTCCCCCCCCAATCCCGCTCCCCCTCCCCCTCCTCCTCCTTCTCCTCCTCCTCCTCTTCCTCCTCCTCTCCTCCTCCCCCTCCTCCTCCTCTCCTCCTCCTCCTCCTCCTCCTCCTCCTCCTCCTCCTCCTCCTCCTCCTCTTCGCTCTACCCATCCTGCGGTTCCCAATCACTACACAGTTCTCTCCTAAATTTCGTTCCGTCGTCGTTATCCATCCTGCTATTCGTCGTTTTTGTCGTCGTCGCTCGCCCCCTCACTCCTCATCGCCGCGGCATCCCACTATCCCCATCCCGTTGTTCACTGCTTCGACCAACATCATGGATCTTGCTCGCGCCAGGAACGCAATAACATAAGTTCGTTCTGACAAACAATGAGCGGCGCGGCACTGTCACTCTTTGAAACAAAGGTACGAATATATGTGTATATATATATATATATACACACTCATCTTTTCTGACAGAAAAATAAGCGCGGCCCAGTGTTTAATACGCTTGAAACGTACATGCCTGTAGATACGGGGGCGCTCCCGCACAGACCGTGGGCGCGCATCTAAAAGTTATGTGTTTATATATGTATATATATATATATATATATATATATATAGTGCCGTCGTTGCAGAAAGATAGGTACGATGGGTTCCTCGCCTGCGCCAGGGCGCGCTCGCATCTAGACGCACATTGTATGTCTAGATACGTCTTGCAGGGCCGCGCCCCATGACCCACCAGGGACTGCTCGCGCCCATTCGCTGGCCGCGCCAGGGAAAGGCACGTCCTCCACCGGGGAACCCGTGAGGGCCCTGGGCGCCAGCCTCTTGCCTCCTGGGGTCGGCCACGCATGCTCGCCCCCCCCCCCCTGGGGGGTAGCGCGGGAACTATCCGTCCGGGCTGGAGCCGCAAGGGGCCCGGACTGTTCCAGACCTGCGCCTCCCAGGTCCAAGAGCGACACCTCCTCGGCCTGCGGCTTCTGGTTCCCTCCTAAGGCCCCCGCTCCCCCAGTCACGGGCCCCCCATCCCCAGGGGTCGACTGCGGGCCCCCGAAGCCTCCCAAGGAGGCCAGGGATGCCATTAATGGGACCAAACTGGCGACCACCAGCATCCAGCATCGCCATGTGGGTTCAGGGGCGCACGCGCGCATGCACGCGCGCGGGCCCCTCCGCAAAAGCGCAGTTCCAGCGGATACCGCTGGTTTTGCATTGTTTGTAGGGGTGTCGTGCGGGGGCCTCGTCGTCGTCGGAATGCGTTCCAATTCGCTTCGGATTCGCCCCCCGATCAGTTCGTCCCACTTCGGAACCGAATCGGATCTTAAGCTCGAGCTGGTCGAACGCCACACGTTTCGACTGCAGCCACCTTTGGGCAAACCATGCGCGTAGGCACCTTGAGCTTACGATCCAGATCAATTCGGACAGGATTAGAGTGCCAAGGGTTGCTTGAAATCCACAAAGCAACAGAAAACATAACAGTTCAACACAATATGACGCAGCACAGTGCAGCACAGCTCGTATCAATCGCAAATTACGCAAACTCGCTGCCCTGGCCAGGCACCTCGGAGTGCGGCTCCCTCACCAGAAGACGCCATGTAGCTTCAGGATGATAAATTTGACTTGTCTCGCTTCGAGTCGGGGCGGTTCGGCCTTCGTATCGTTTAAGTTCGTCGTGATGCAAGTCGTCGCGTCTTGGTTCGCCATGTTTCGGTCCGCCCATTTTCGGTGCGTTTCGCGTCGGTTCGGAAATGCCGACTTGGCTCGTGCCGTTACGGAACTGAATCAGATCTTCAACTCGAGCTGGTCGAGCGCCCTGCGCGGTTCGTCTGCAAGAAACTCGAGTTATGCATTCAGGCAGCTCGAGCTTTAAGATCCCGATCTGTTCGGTCAGGATTGCGATGCCAAGGACGACCTGATCCAGAATGCAATAGAGCATTGCACAGGTCAACGCGGCATGGTACATGTCAGGCCATCGCAGCACAGCGCAGCACAGCCCGTGGCACGGTACAGCACCATCGTTGCCTTGAGCATTGCAATTGCCCGTCGCCCAAGCTTGGTGTCTTGAAGCATCTCCATGCTTTACATTCATACATCCCTTTCCGGATTCGTAGGTCGATCATGTTGCTCCAGCGCGTCAGCGTCGTCATCGCCATCGTTGTCGTCTCGTCGTTGTCTTCGTCGCCGTCGTTGTCCCTGTTCAAGGTCGGCCGCATCAGCCGTAAAACCTTCGCAATATACCTGATACAGCTACCCGTTTCTTGTCGCCACGGCTGGATTCGCAACGAAATCGTTGCCAGAACGCACCCGGGAAAACCGATATCCATGTACCTCTGTCCACCACAATGGTGAAATTATTGTTCATCCATCAAGGCTTGGACGATCACGGGAGGAAAAAAGACGTCGAGAGTTGAGGAGGTTGGAAGAGTGTCAAGAAGATGCTGTATACTGAGAGCCTGAAGCTGGGTTGCAGAAGCGTGGCCACAAACGCAGAGAGAGCACGGACATCCTTCAGCCTATCTTCAGTTGGTAAACTGAAGTCTTGGTCAAATCGTAGCTGATCGCATCTTTTCTCTCCATGTGGTAGCACTCCAAAATGTCCATCGGGCACTTCGTCTTACCGCGCCTGCGGGACAGACGGGGAAGGGCCACGAACACTCAGAAAGCGCAAACCATCCATGGAGAAACGCGGACTCCGACACTGACAAGAGCGTGTGCCTGAACACATGAGCTGGCCCTTTCATCGCGGATGCCTGCGAGCAGGACTCTGGAATTGGTCCGCATGAGGTTCAAACAAAAATAGCGCGCGCAGGCCAACTCGCGCGACAGCTGCGCCTCCGCTGCCCCCTTCGTGCCGCCTCTCAGCCATCCTCCACCTCAGCCTTCCAACCTCCGTCCTCCTCCTCCGCATTGTTCACCACGACCGGGTACGTACACAAACTCCCCCTTTCTGTCTGGTTACGCCTCGATGTCCTCGCAAGGTACCCTATGGTTCCTTCGATCTGCTCCATCCGCCCTCCTAGCTTATTCCCCGCAACGTCTGACTCCGTCCCCCGCATCTTCGTCCTCGTCCTCATCACCATCCTCCTCATCGGCATACTCCTCATCGTAATCCTCCTAGTCGCCTCATCCGCATCATCTATTCAGCCGTAGTTTCTCTGGCTCATGGTCCTTCTCCCGCCCCCTCTTCGTCCTCGCCTGCCTTCCTTCTGGCACTTCATCCTCCTCAACCTCGTCCTGCTCATACATCGTATTCCGCCGACTCCTGCTCATCAGGCCTAACTCCTCCTCCTCCTCCTCCTCCTCCTCCTCCTCCTCCTCCTCCTCCTCCTCCGTCCCTCACCCCTCCTCGCCACTTTACTGCTACTCCCCCATCCATGTTTCCTCTTACCCCCCCCATTCCCGTCTCCTCTCCAGATTCCTCCTCCTCCCACAGCGCCTACCTGCCCTCCCGTTCCTCCCCCTCTCCCTGCCTAATTCTCCCTCCTTCTCCTCCTTCTCATGATCCTCACCCTCCATATCCATATCTCTCACCCTCCCTTCGTCCATATCTCTCACCCTCCCTTCGGCTCGCACGGGCTCTGTCCCCCGCCCACCTGCTCGATCAAGCTGTTCCTCCTCTCCCGTGTTCTCCTTTCCGGCGTCAAAGTTTACCATCAAAGAAAATCATCACCGGTACTTTCCACCTCCTCCCGGACCTCACCATTCTCTTCCGCGTCCGTTTCTGTATCCCCCTCCTCCTCAAAACTCCTTCCTTAAATTCTACTCCTCCCTGTCACACCACCAAGCGTGTAGGTCGGCCTGGCAGGACGTTTCGCGTGAGACCTCTTCACCGATTGTCCTCCTCACCGATTACGAGATTGAAACTTTCAATCCCCAACGGTTACGCGAAGAACAACGAACCGTTCCCAAAGTGAGGTTTCCGCTTTGGCGCAGCGCACTTTCGTCGTAAAGCACTTGGCGGCTTGGGGTGATCAAAATCATGCTCTCGCCTCGGAGCCACGCAAACGAGTCTTGAACGCTTCAAACATTTCATCAATGGAAGGCTAGTAATCTTGAAACGGAGGCTTTCACTTTGGCGGCGCGTGCACTCGTCTCATAAGCAGTTGAGCGGACATAGGGCAGTTCCTTTTCAAAATGGTGGTGCCGCCTGGGGCTGCATCACACGTCGTGGCCACAATTTCAAATCGTGCGACAGCTACACGAGTGGAGGATGGCTCCTTTTTCAAGCGTGGAGCTCTCGTTTGAGACTACAGTAAAAGCGCAGCAGTTGCACGGACGGGGGGCGGATCATGCTCAAGGCGGGGCTGTCGCTGGGCACTTCTTTGAGCGTCAAGGCCCCACCGTATGGCAACCCTCATAGCTAGATGTCAGCCAGCGTGGACCCTGCACAATGAATTATTGCACGGTGGAGGTGAATACTATGCAGTGCGAGCTTTGTGATGTACGCCATGCCGTGTAAGCTATGCGGTGCGAGATACGCAGGAGGACGCTGTGCTGCGTCACAGATGTGTAGGCAATGTCGTGCAAAATGTATTGTGTGAGCTGGAGGTGAATGATATGCGATGTAACCTGTGTAAACATGTTGTGTCGTGTAAGCTATGCGTTGTACGCCATGTGTTAGTAAGCTCAGCGCTTGGAGTGCCCACGGGCACCCAAGAGCGCCCACGAGGCGGTACGGGCGGCAACGTGGCGCAACTATGCCGGACCCACCCATCGAGCGGGTCGCCCACGAGCGCCCTCGAGGAGGCACGGGGCGACAACGCGGCGCAACCTCGGCGGACCCACCCACCGCATGGGGCGCCCACGATACAAAAATCGTAGATGTTCCATACGTTTTTGCAGGATTCTAGCGCTCTTGCCTCTGACGTTTGCCAACGCGCCAGGAGGCCCCCAATATCGCCCCGAGACGCCCCAAGAGGCGCCCAAAAGCGTCCCCTAACGGCCCGAGAGGGCCCCAAGACGGCCCAAGACGCCTCCAGGACGTCCCCAGAAATCCTCGGAGGCTTCCAGAGAGCCCCCCCAAAAAAGACCATGAAACATGAAACGTCGACTCGAACCCCGATCCTCGATTCTCCTCCTCTTCCTCCTCTGCCTCCTCCTCCTCCTCCTCCTCCTCCTCCTCCTTCTCTGTTTCTCCCTCGCTCTTCGTCGTTTTTCCCCCGCACCACCCTGAAACCTGCATGAGCCTCCCAGAACCACCCCCCCTCTTCCCTTGGCCCACCTCCTCAAACGCTCCAGCCAGAGGAGAATCGAACAACAGCGTAATCGACTCGAAGGGGACCCCGTTCCTGTAACCCCCTACCCACGAGAGAAGGGAGGTCCAGGGGGAGGGTGAGAGGGAGGAGAAGATCCCGCGGGGTCCCTGGAAGCGTCCTGCGAATCGTGACCCCCCCCTCCCCCTTCTCCGACCGAGAACGCCCAAGAGAGCCCCAGGAACACCCCAAGAGAGGCCGAAGAGGGGGAAACCAACCCACATTTCAAGCTCCCCACTCCAAGAGGCTACCAGGAGGTCCCGAAATCGCCCATGTTTTTCGCCTGCTTGACTTCCAGGCTTCATACACTCCACGTCGGCCCCAGTTGCCTCCGAGAGCTCCCCAGAACGGCCCAAATACACGCCAGGATGGCCCGGGAAGGCCCCAAGACGGCCCAAAGGCCCCCCAGAACAGCCCAAGAGGGCCCGGGAAGGCCCCAACAAGGACTCGCGATGGTCGTCGCCGTCTCCGTCGTCGCCGTCATCGTCGTCATTCATCGTCCCCCTTCAGGGTCGGCGGCATCGGCCGTAAGGCCTTCGCAATGATCTAAATCTGGACTTTGGGCTGGGCAGGGGTAGGGCGGGGGCATCGGGACCGGTGTCGGGACCCTCGAAGTGCCGGCAAGGGCGGAACCGCGTCGGCGCAGTTGCCGCTGGCGCGGGGCCTCCACCTGCGGCAGCTGGCAAGAACCCCGCCTTCAGGGCGCCCACGGCCACCGACAGAGGACGGACAAACGCGCCACAGCACGTGCCGGGGGCGCGCCACGGGACGCGCCAGGAGGAGGAGGAGGAGGAGGAGGAGGAGGAGGAGGAGGAGGAGGGGGAGGAGGAGGAGGAGGAGGAGGAGGAGGAGGAGGAGGAGGAGGAGGAGGAGGAGGAGGAGGAGGAGGAGGAGGAGGAGGGAGAGGATGCGCCAGGAAGCGCACCACGGGACGCGCCATGGGATGTCCAAGGAACGTGTCAGGAGAGGCGCCCGGGGACGTGATTGCCAGTCGACTCGCCAACGGACGTGCCAAGGGGCGCGTCAGGAGACGCGCGGCGCGACATCGGACGCGACACGGGTCGTACAGCGCGACGCGCCAGGGGACGTGCCATCGGAAGCGCCAGGGTGCGTGCAGAGAGACGTGCAAAGGAACGTGCCGCGTACGCGCCAAAGCCAGTAGACGTGCCAGGGGACGCGCAAGCCAGGGGGCGCGCCAGGACCCCACGAGGCCCACAAGACAGCCTGGGAGGGCCCCAAGATGGCCCAAGAGGCCCCCAAGACGGCCCTATAGGCCTCCGAAGGCCAAAAGGTTCTTGAACGGCCCCCAAGAGGCCCCAGGACGCCTCCAAGAAGCCCCTCAGAGGCACAGAGCAGCCCCCCCAGAAAGCTCACAGGAATCCCCCATGAGGCCCCAAGAGTTCATCAAAAGGCCTCCTCTTCTTTCTCCTCCTCCTCCTCCTTCTTCCTCCTCGTCCTCGTTCTCCTCCCTCTCCTCCTCCTCTTCCTCTTCCAACTGTTCCCTCAAGGGGTTACACAGCGGCTGGGAGAACACGCAGTCCAATAGCTTTGCCAGGCTTCGGCCCAACGTTTGGCCGAATGGGCGTTTCCAAAAGACAAGGGGCGACGGCGATTCGCCGTAGGCGTCTCCGATCAGCCGTGCACGGCGTGCTGGATGTCTTGCTGTTTCAAGCCGTTGACGGAATTCCCAATGGCCTTCATCTTGGTCCACCGGCGTCACGGAAAAACCTTATCCAACCAGCCGTCTCGCCCAATATGGCCTTAGGAAGAATTCCAAGACGGCTAAGATGGCCTCCGAGACGCCCCAAAGACGGCTAAGACGGCACCAGATTGGCCCAAAAGGATTCCAACATGGCCCAAGAAGCCCCGGGAGAGCCTCGCGACGGCCCCCGAAGCCCCCAAGAGGCCCCAAGACGTGCCAAGAGGGCGCCAAGACGCCCCAACAGGCCCCCAAGACAGTCACAAGAGGGCCCCAAGACGGCCCAACAGACCTCCAAGATGACCCTAAAGCGTCCAAATAGAGCCTCAAGACTGGCAACAGGGACCTCCAAGACGGCCTCCAAACGGCAAGAGGCCCCGAAGACGACAACAGGCCCCCAAGAGGCCCCTACGAGGCCCCAAAGAGGCCCCCGAGGCCCCAAGAGGCCATCCGAGGTACACAAGAGACCCTCAGGAGGCGCCAGCAGATAACCAAGAGACACCATGTTTCTCCTGTTCCTCCTTCTCCTCCCTCTCATCCTCCTTTCGTCCTCCCTCAATGAAGGGGCCCTGGGACACATGAAAAATACACACAAATAATAGGATTACCCATACTTTTTACATATTTTCTGGGTTTCTGTCTTCCCCCCACTTCCCATATTTTCGTATATTTTCATTGGAAATAGACGATTAATTGTGTCTGTGTTGTTTCCCTCCTGACTCAAAGGTTCCCCCAACGGTTTCAACAACGGCTGGGAAAACAAATGGTCCAATAGCTTGGAAAGATTTCAGCCCAATGCTTGGCCACAATGGGCGCTTTCAAGAAGGCAGGGGGCGGTTATTGCTCTCCGTTGGCATCTTCTATAAAGCAGCAAAACGTTTCGCAGGATACACATTCGGAACAACGATCAAAAGGCCATCTTCGACCTCCCCAAAAGCATCCGCCGGCCTCCAATCACCGACGCAAAACTACTCACACTCTATTCTGGGCAGGAGAGACTTCCTGGAATGTTCGGCCAACCCCGTCGGCCTTCGGGTCACTCGGCGTGTGAGGTGTTGCCTCTCCCCAAATCCCTCCCCGGGTAGCTCGGTTTGGCCAGTTTGGAGGCGGGGGGACACAAGTGCCGGCGGTGCCAGCGCGGTGCCAGCGGTCCCGGCCATGTTCCCTGACAGGCCCCGCCGTAATCGACATGGCTTCCGCGCAGCCTCCAAATTGCCTCGGAATGTTCCCCACGGGGCCCCAGATGGCCCCAAGAAAACCCAATTTGGTCTCAGAACAGCTCTGGAAAACTCGAAAAGGTCTTAGGACGACACTGGCGAAGGCCCCGTGAAGCAAACGCATCGTCCCGCTAACCCTTGATTTTGCTCCGTGAAAAAAAAAGCGAGCGTTTTCCCTGAAAGGGCTCGGACCTAGGGCTCCTCTTTGTTAACCCCTGGGCCTCGACTTGCGCAGGGCCAGCAAATTCATCGATCTGTGCTGACTAACGAGGTCACGCAGGGCCGGCGAATTAGACAGTTGAGGATGTCCCAAGCGAAACGCTGTTGTTTTGAAATTCCAATCGATAAAACACAAGGCAAAAGTACACATGCTCGTTTGTTGCAGATATCTCGAGCGAAACGCTTGTTTTACAGAATTTGTTGAGGATGCCTCGAGCGAGGATAGATCTTTCCTCCCCTGGGGACCAGAATTCAAAGGATGTCGCAGGAGAAGTGCTTGTTTTCACGTGCCCAGGTCTTTAGGATGTCTCGAGCGAGATGCTTGGTTTCACACGTCTAGGTTGCCCAGGCAGATGTCTAGCCTGAGGATTTGTTCTCCAAATAGACTTGCCCTATAGGAGTCCTAGCTCATCAAAAGTAATTGGTCTTTAGCCCCCCACTTTTCCAATGGCCCCCCCCTTCTCTCTAATGCCCCCCCCCTTCCCCCCCTTTTTCCAATGGCCCCCCCCTTATTTCCAATGGCCCCCCCAGCTATTTCGAATGGCGAGTCCTATGGATTCCTATGAGTCGTATGGATTCCTATACTTGCTCTTGCTTGCTTGTTTGCACTTGCTTGCTTGCTCTTGCGTGCTTGCTCTTGCACACTCACTTGCACTTGCTTGCTTGCTCTTGCGTGCTTGCTCTCGCGCGCTTGCTCTTGTTTGTCCTTGCTTGCTTGCACTTGAAAGCTGGCTCTTGCTTGCTTGTGATTGCTCGCTTACGCTTGCTTGCTTTCACTTGCTTGCTTGCGCTTGCTTGATTTTGCTTCTCCGATCCTCCTCCCGTCCTGCTCCGGTCCTCCTTTCGTCCTCCTCTCATCCACCTCTCGTCCTCCTCCTGTTTTCCTATCTATTTGGAGTCAACGCTGGCTGACATTATTGAGGATATCTCGAGCGAAACGTTTGTGTTCACGCGTCCAGGTCGCCCAGGCAGATGTCTAGCATGAGGATTTGAGGATGCTTCAAGAGAGACACTTGTTTTCACGTGTCCAGGTTGCCTAGGCGGATGTCTTGCACGAGGATGTGTTGAGAACGTCTGGACAAAGCGCTTGTTTTCACGTGCCCAGGTCGCCCCGAGACGGCCCAAGAGGCATCCAAGAGGAACCCAAAACGGCCCAAGAGGCCCCAAGATAGTCCACGGAGGCCGTAAGAAGGCTCAAGGAGGCCCCCAAACACGGCCCGAAAGGACCCCAAGAGAGCCACAGGGCGGCCCCGAGAGGCCCCCAAGACGGCCTCCGACGGGGCCAGATGGCGTAAGAGTGCCCAAAATGCCCCAAGAGGCCCCTAAGAGACCCCCAAGAAGCTTGAAGGGGCCCGAAGAAACCTCCAAGATACCCCCAATTGAAACACTAAACGACCCCAAACAACCACCCAAAGGCTAGCGGAATTGTGTGCAAATGGCGCGTGGTTGCTATGCCAATCGGAACTTGAACTTGGCGTTTCCTTGTGCTGTCACGCTGTGGACGCTCATTGCCCTCGTGGAAGTTTGCACGCTCGCCCCGGCGCTGAAATTTAATTAGGGGGGAACGCATTCGCCCCTCGTGGCGCTGGCAGTGCCTTGTGGCGGGCAGAGCAACACGGCAGAACTTGTCGGCTGACGAACAGAGCAAACCACCCAACGCCCAATCTTAACGCGTTCCAAGCATGCAACCCGCGAAGCGAAAGGAATCTTGAGGCGTCGCCGACGCGGACCAAAGGGCACCGCATGCATTGGCCTCGAAACTCCCTACCCCCCAAGGGCGCACCACTTCGCGGTGAACTCTCCCGGCACCAGCGAAGCCTGGTCCGCAGCGGCCGCGAACTCCATGGTCCTCTCGGCCGGCAGCTCACCATTCAAGGTGGGCGAGAAGAAGGGAGAGGGAATTCAATGCGCAAGAGCACGGAGGCATTGCGCGATGGCCGATGGCCCCTCGGCCGCGATGTCCATGGTCTTCCGGGTAGTGCGCAGGTGCCCACCATTCAAGACGAGCGGCGAAGGAAAAGGCGGGCCCTGTGCACGAAGACAACGCGGCCTCCCGGGAGGCGCATCCGGTCTCCAGAGGCCAAAAGACAAGCCGAATACATCAAAAAGCATAAATCGGTTCCGTTCTTGGCCCACGACGGCGACGGGAAGGACCGAAACCATCCAAAAACCTTGGACCGATCCTGCCTGGCCGGGGACTGCGGCGAGAGGGGCCGAACCCATACAATGTTAGCAACTGCGTTAGCATAACAATGTGTGTTCTAGCAACATATGGTGTGCAACATATGTGGTGCAATTCTCCTTGCCTTTCTTGGCATCCCACCCTCCCACCCGCAACTTGGTCGCAAAACCTCTCAAGACCGTGACAGTAGGTACCAAATGGCACTTGGCAACGACACCAACGCCGACGACGACAGCGACAACGACGACGACACCGACGCCGACGACTCCGCCGACGACACCGACACCGACGACTCCGACGACTTCGACGACGACGACGCCAACGACGACGACGACGGCGACGACGACACCGACGACGACGACGACTCCGATGACGACGACGCCGACGCCGCCGACGACGACGACGATGACGACGCTGAGGACGACGACGATGCCGACGACAGCGACGACGACGCCGCCGACGACGACGACGACGCCAACGCCGACGACGATGCCAACGAAGACGGCGACGACGAGAGAGGAGGGAGGACGACGACGGAGACAACGACGACAACGACGAGGGAGGAGGGAGGCCCCCAGGAGGCCCGCCAGAGGCACCCAAGACGCTCCAAGAAGCCTCGGCGGCAATGTCAAAATCATTGATTCCCCACATGTTTCGTGGGGTTATGTTTTTTCCCCTGCCGCTCCGCACCCGCGTCTCGCCTCCTCCTCCTTTTCCTCCTCCTCCTTTTCCTCCTCCTCCTCCTCCTCCTCCTCCTCCTCCTCCTCTCCCTCCACCTGCACAGCACAGCAAAGCACAGCACATGCACAGCACGCCCCATTCGCTCGGGTACAGCAGGCATGGCATATTCTCGACACCATAGGGGGTGCGCACGGGGTGGTTTCTCACCGCGGCCGCTATCCGTGACGGTCGTCCAGGGCGCAGCAGGCATGGCAGATTCTCGACACAATAAAGGGGTGCGCACGGGGTGGTCTCTCACCGCGGCCGCTATCCGTGACGGTCGTCCAGGGCACAGCAGGCATGGCATATTCTCGACACCGTAAGGGGGTGCGCACGGGATGGTCTCTCACCGCGGCCGCTATCCGTGACGGTCGTCCAGGGCACAGCAGGCATGGCATTTTCTCGACACCATAAAGGGGTGCGCACGGGGTGGTCTCTCACCGCGGCCGCTATCCGTGACGGTCGTCCAGGGCACAGCAGGCATGGCATATTCTCGACACCATAGGGGGTGCGCAGGGGGTGGTCTCTCACCGCGGCCGCTATCCGTGACGGTCGTCCAGGGCACAGCAGGCATGCCCAATTCTCGACACCATAAAGGGGTGCGCAGGGGGTGGTCCCTCACCGCGGCCGCTATCCGTGACGGTCGTCCAAGGCACAGCAAGCATGGCATATTCTCGACACCGTAAGGGGGTGCGCAAGGGGTGGTCTCTCACCGCGGCCGCTATCCGTGACGGTTGTCCAGGGCACAGCAGGCATGGCATGTTCTCGGCACCATAAGCGGGTGCGCAAGGGGTGGTCTCTCACCGTGGCCGCTATCCGTGACGGTCGTCCAGGGCACAGCAGGCATGGCAGCTTCTCGACACCATAAGGGGGTGCGCAAGGGGTGGTCTCTCACCGCGGCCGCTATCCGTGACGGTCGTCCAGGGCACAACAGGCATGGCATATTCTCGACACCATAAGGGGGTGCGCAGGGCCACTATCCGTGACGGTCGTCCTTGCGGTATCGGCGGGGCAACGGCCGCCAACATCATTCTCACATGCTTCATTTCAGCTCTCATCACTCCAGCCATAATATAAGTATGTGGGGTTCCTCGGTAGCGTAACTGTTAATCGGTTTTGCCCACATTTTGGCTTCCTGGGGGGGGGCGCTGCTTAAGATGACTCCAGGAGCGCCTGGGGGAGCCCAAGATGACCTCCCAAATGGTTCAAAATACCCCAATATGCCTCAACATGACTCCCACGATGCTCCAAGAGGCCCCATGACCGCTCCAAGACGGCTCCAAGTGACCAAAGAGCTCCCACAGGAGGCCCCGAAGAGGCCACAATCGTCCCAACACCTCAGGACAAATCAACGTGTGTCCCCACATGTTTCGTGCGGTTCTGGTTCCCCACATGCTTAATGGGGTTATGGTTTTCCTCCCTGCCGAGTCGCACCCGCGTCTCCCGCACGCCTCCCCCCTTCTCACACAGCGCGGCACAACACAGTACAGCACATCACTGCTCAGCACAGCTCGGCACATATCAGCTCAGCTCAGCTCAGCTGTGCACAGCACAGCGCACCCCAGCCCACTGCTCAGCTCAGCTCAGCCCAGCGCAGCACAACTCAGCACAGCACAACTCATCGCAGATAACTTAAGCGCAGCTCAGCTCGGACAGGGGGTGCGCATGGGGTGGTCCGTGAGCGCAACCGCTATCCGTGACGGTCGTCCAGGGCACAGCAGGCGTGGCGTTTTCTCGACACCATAGGGGGTGCGCACGGGGTGGTCCCTGAGTGCGGCCGCTATCCGTGACGGTCGTCCAGGGCACAACAAGCGTGGCGTTTTCTCGACACCACAAGGGGGTGCGCACGGGGTGGTCCCTGAGCGCGGCCGCTACCCGTGACAGTCGTCCAATGCACAGCAAGCGTGTCGTTTTCTCGACACCACAGGGGGTGCGCACGGGGTGGTCCCTGAGCGCGGCCGGTCTCCGTGACGGTCGCCCAGGGCACAGCAAGCGTGGCGTTTCTCGACACCACAGGGGGTGCGCACGGGGTGGTCCCTGAACGCGGCCGGTATCCGTGACGGTCGCCCAGGGCACAGCAAGCGTGGCGTTTTCTCGACACCACAAAAGGGTGCGCACGGGGTGGTCCCTGAGCGCGGCCGCAATCCGCGACGGTCGTCCAAGGCACAGCGGGCGTGGCGTTTTCTCGGCACCACAGAAAGTGCGCACGGGGTGGTCCCTGAGCGCGGCCGCTATCTGTGACAGCCGTCCAGGGCACAGCAGGCGCTGCGTTTTTCTCGACACCACAAGGGGTGCGCACGGGGTGGTCCCTGAGCACGGCCGCTATCCGCGACGGTCGTCCAGGGCACAGCACACGTGGCGTTTTCTCGGCACCACAGAAAGTGCGCACGGGGTGGTCCCTGAACGCGGCCGCTATCCGTGACGGTCGTCCAGGGCGTGGCGTTTTCTCGACACCACAAGGGGTGCGCACGGGGTGGTCCCTGAGCGCGGCCGGTCTCCGTGACGGTCGCCCAAGGCACAGCAAGCGTGGCGTTTTCTCGGCACCACACGTGGTGCGCACGGGGTGGTCCCTGAACGCGGCCGGTATCCGTGACGGTCGCCCAGGGCACAGCAGGCGTGGCAATTTCTCGACACCACAAGGGTGCGCACGGGGTGGTCCCTGAGCGCGGCCGCTATCCGTGACGGTCGTCCAGGGACAGCAAGCGTGGCGTTTTCTCGACACCACAAGGGGTGCGCACGGGGTGGTCCCTGAACGCGGCCGGTCTCCGTGACGGTCGCCCAGGGCACAGCACACGTGGCGTTTTCTCGGCACCACACGTGGTGCGCACGGGGTGGTCCCTGAACGCGGCCGGTATCCGTGACGGTCGCCCAAGGCACAGCAGGCGTGGCAATTTCCTGACGGGGTGGTCCCTGAGCGCGGCCGCTATCCGTGACGGTCGTCCACGGCACAGCCAGCGTGGCGTTTTCTCGACACCACAGGGGGTGCGCACGGGGTGGTCCCTGAGCGCGGCCGCTATCCGTGACGGTCGCCCAGGGCACAGCAGGCGTGACGTTTTCTCGACACCACAACAGAGTGCGCACGGGGTGGTCCCTGAGCGCGGCCGCTATCCGTGATGGTCGTCCAGGGCACAACACGCGTGGCTTTGTCTCGCACCACAAGAGGTGCGCACGGGGTGGTCCCTGAACGCGGCCGCTATCCGCGACGGTCGTCCAAGGCACAGCGGGCGTGGCGTTTTCTCGGCACCACAGGGGGTGCGCACGGGGTGGTCCCTGAGCGCGGCCGTTATCCGTGACGGTCGTCCAGGGCACAGCAGGCATGGCGTTTTCTCGACACCACAGGGGGTGCGCACGGGGTGGTCCCTGAGCGCGGCCGCTCTCCGTGACGGTCGCCCAGGGCTCTCGACACCACAGGGGGTGCGCACGGGGTGGTCCCTGAGCGCGGCCGCTATCCGTGACGGGTGTCCTTGCGGCATCGGCGGGGCAACGGCCACCAACATCATTCCCACATGCCTCACTTCAGCCACCATCACCCCAGCCGTAATATAAGTATGGGGGGTTCCTCGGTCGCGAAATTTTGAAATTTTCTTCTCTGCCGCGTCGCACCCGCGTCTTCCTCACCCGCCTCCGTCTCCATTTTCCCTCCCCTCACGCACACACAGGCACACACGCACACACACACGACGTATGCGCACATACTGGGCACACACATGGGGCGCACGCCGCACAGCACAGCACAGCTCAGCTCAGCACGGCTCAGCACAACACTGCACATCATAGCACCTCAGCACAGCACAGCTCAGCACAGCCCGTCCAAGGCACCGCAAGCGTGGCGTTTTCTCGACACCACAAGGGGTGCGCACGGGGTGGTCCCTGAGCGCGGCCGCTATCCGTGACGGTCGTCCAGGGCACAGCAAGCGTGGCGTTTTCTCCACACCACAAAGGGTGCGCACGTGGTGGTCCCTGAGCGCGGCCGCTATCCGTGACGGTCGTCGTTGCCCATACAGGCGCGGCGTATTCTCGACACCGCCGGGGGTGCGCACGGGGTGGTCCCTGAGCGCGGCCGCTATCCGCGACGGTCGTCCAGGGCACAGCAAGCGTGGCGTTTTCTCGACACCACAGAAAATGCGCGGGGTGGTCCATGATCGCCGTTGCCCCAGCAGGCGTGGCATATTCTTGACACCACAAGAGGTGCGCACGGGGTGGTCCCTGAGCGCGGCGCGCGGCCGCTATCCGTGACGGTCGTCCAGGGCACAGCCAGCGTGGCGTTTTCTTTACACCACGAAAGGGTGCGCACGGGGTGGTCCCTGAGCGCGGCCGCTATCCGTGACGGTCGCCCAGGGCATAGCAGGCGTGGCGTTTTCTCGACACCATAAGGGGGTGCGCACGGGGTGGTCCCTGTGCGCGGCCGCAATCAGCGACGATCGTCCTTGCGGTATCGGCGGGGCAACGGCCGCCAACATCATTCTCACGTGCTTCAATTCCACTATCATTACCCCAGCCGAAATATAAGTATGTGGGGCTCCTCGGAAGCGAAAGTGAGTTTCTCCCCTTTTCGCTTCCGATGGCCATCCGAGGCCGCAAGATGGCTCCAACATGGCCCAAGAGGCCTCCAAGAGGGCTCCCAAGGCTCCTTCCAAGAGCGTCCCAAAAGGGCCCCAGGAGGCGGCCACGCGGCCCCATGAGGCCCCAACAGGCGCCCACGAGGCCTCCGAGAGGCCGCCCAGGGCTGGCAGTCGGGCTGGCCGCAAGGCGGGCGAACGGCGGACCGTGGGGCTGGCAACCAGGCGGGCCACGTGACTGGCAGTGGGGCGGCACGGGGGGCAGGCCGCCAGGGTGGCCGCGGGGCTGGCAATGGGCAAGCAGGGGGGCCGGCCGCAGGGCTGGCAGTGGGGGAGGCCGTTGGGCAAGCCGCGCGCCGCGGCGGCGGCACCGGCCACCGCGGCGGCAGCAACGGCCGCCGTGACAGCGGCCGCCACGCCGGCCACGGCGCCGCCGGCCGCCGCCGCCGCCGGAGGGGAGCCGGCGGCGGCGGCAGCAGCGGCGGCGGCGGCCGCGCCGCCGACAGCCGCGGGGGCGGCCGCGGCGGCGCCGAACACCGCGCCCTCCGCCGCCGCCGCCGCCGGCGGGGAGCCGGCATCGGCAGCGGCAGCGGCACCTGCAGCGGCGGCGGCAACTGCCGCCAGCCAGGGCGGCGGCGGCCCAGCGCAGGCGGGGGCAGTGCTGGGCCAGCCGCCGCCGCGGCCAGCCGCCGCCGCCTCCCGCGCGCCGGCCTCCAGGGGGGAGGCGGCGGCGGCGACCGGCAGCAGCAGCCGCAGCAGCGGCAAGCAGAGGGCCCGGGCGGAGCGGCCCGTCCCGGGCGGCGGCGGCCAGGCGCTGCCGCCGCCGCAGGGTGGCGCCAGTGGGGCCGCCGCCGCCGGATGCCATCGCGACGGGGCGGGCCCGGCGCGTACTTGGAGCAGGGGCAGGCTCGAGCCGAGACGGCTTGAGCCAACCTAGTTAAGCCAGCGGCTACGGAAGCTGGTGGTGTCACGCGAAGCGTCCAGAATTTACATTTTGGATGGATAATGGGTTTAACCGGGGGGTATCATAATTCCCTTTTAGAGAGAAGATTGTGTGCAGTGCAGTTAACGCTGCGCACGTTAAGCGGCAACATGGCGGCGACGGCGACAACATAGCCGCCAGATTGACGCGCAGGCCCTGACGATGGGCGGCGACGAGGCGGCGACGGCGGCCACACAAGCGCACGACCGACGCACAAGCCCAGACGATGGGCGGCGACGAGGCGGCGACGGCGACCACATGGCCGCAAGACCGACGCAGAGGCCCAGACTATGGGCGGCGACAAGGCGGCGACGGCGGCCACACAGGCGCAAGACCGACGCGCAGGCCCAGACCATGGGCGGCGACGAATCGGCGACGGCGACCACATAGCCGTCAGACCGACAAACTGTTCCAGTTCCATATTCCAGAACTAGGAACCCCGAAATGTAAACCCTGTTTGGGGGAAAACGCCGCGATCGGCGATCCTGGCCGACGACGACGACGACTGCAGCCGTGGCGCAGTCCCCGAGCTCTCGTTGGAGTCGAGCTGCGGGATCGTCCAGTGCACCTGCCCCAGAGGCAGTGTCGCGGCACAGTGGGAGAGGTGCCCGCGTGGACGTGCCGCCCGCTCTGGTCCGAGGTCGTCTGGCCAACCTGTAGGCCACTGGGCCCTTAGCGTTGGGCGTGCAAGAGCAGAGAGAGAGAGAGAGAGAAAGAGAGAGAGAAAGAGAGAGACAGAACTCTTTTGGTTGGAAACATATTCGGCCGTTTTGGACGTTTACGGACCTCCCGGGGCTCCCGCCGAGGAATGAGGAGGAGACCGAGAAGGGGCAGGATCAGGAGGAGGAGAGAGTCCCCCTCATCCCGTCACCATCATACGTCCTCCGTTCTCCCTCCGTCTCCTCATCCTCAGGCACGTCCCTCCTCCTCGATATCTGGTTCCTCCTCCCTCCTCCTCCTCCTTCTTCTTCCGCGGTCGCTGAGGTTCAGGAGAGGCAGAATGAGAAGGAGGAGGAGGAGGATAATGATGATGATGATGATGATGATGATGATGATGATGATGATGATGATGATGATGATGATGATGATGATGATGATGATGATGATGGGGATAAGAAGCAGGAGGAGGGTCATAGTGAGGATGCTGAGGAGGCTGGTACAGGAGGTTAAGAGAGAGGCTGAGGGGCCCGATGATGCTGAGGATGGGGCATGGAACGAAGGAGAATGAGGATCATGATGAGCAGGCCACGAGTAGGAAAGGCACGGGAGGAGCATTCTCGTCGTAACTCATGATCCACATCACCCTCGTGTTCCTTCTCAGCCTTCTCCTCTTCCTCCTCATCGTTTCTCATCGTCCTCCTACCCCTCGCACTCGTCATCATCATCCTTCTCCTCCTCACCATCATAGTCCACATCATCATCATCATCATCATCATCATCATCATCATCATCATCATCATCATCAGCATCAGCATCATCATCATCATCATGAGCATCATAATCATAATTATCACCATCATCATCATCATCATCATCATCATCATCATCATCATCATCATCGTCAGCATCATCATTACTATTAACATCAGCATCATTATCATCATCAGCGGCAGCATCATCGTCGACAGCATCATCAACATCAACACCCCAGTAATCGTCGGCATCATCAGCAGCATCATTACCAGCATCCTTATGATCAGAAGCAGCACCATCAGCAACATCATCGTAACGTTCATAAGCATCAGCATCACCATCATCATCATCATCATTATCAACAACATCATCACCATCATCACCATCATCATCACCATCATCATCATCATCGTCATCATTATTGTCATCGTCATCGTCATCGTCATGAGCATCGTCATCATCACCATCACAGGCATCACCAACAACACAAGGAGGCCCATCGTCCTTATCTTCATCCGTCTTCTCCCAACCCTCTTCGTCCTTATCGTCACCGTCATCCCCATGATCATCGTCTTGTTCCTCCTCCACATCATCGTCCACGTGATCCTCGTATGCATGCTTCTCCTCCAAACTGCGAGTCCTCACTCCTCCTCAACATCCTCATCCACATAAGAAATCGAACCTGCAAACTGTTCGAGACGAAACCCAGAAATCTCCACCTCTTCACCAGCATAGTCCACATCATCATCATCATCATCATCATCATCATCATCATCATCAGCATCTTCATCATCATCATCATCATGAGCATCACTATCACCATCCACATCATCATCAGCATCATCACCACTACCACCACCATCATCAGCAGCAGCATCATCATAAGTATCAGCATCATCATCCTCACCCGTATCACCATCAGCACCAGCATCAGCATCATGACCATCAGCAGCAGCATCATCACCGTAATGCTCATCAGCATCAGCATCGTAATAATCGTCATCATCGCCATCATCACTACCATCACCATCACCTTCATCATCAACATCAGACTGAACAGCATCATCACCATCATTGTCGTGATCGCCGTCATGAACATCGTCATCATCACCATCACCGGCATCATCAACAACACAATGATTACCATCGTCCTTATCTTCATCCGCCTTCTCCCAACCCTCTTCGTCAACCTTCCTCCTCCTCCAGACAAGAAACGCCACGCGCCGGCCAGCTCGCCATGATCGCCCGCCCGGCAGCGGACCAAAAGCCCCAGACCGACAGAAGGCAGAGAGGTTGCACTCGCTGCAGGGTCGGATACCCAGGCCTCCACGATTGTCCTCCCACGGCTCCTGCCCTCCTTTCTTTTCCCTCCTCTCTTTTCCCTCCTCCGTCTTGCTCTTGCCTCCTCTCCTTTGTCCTCACTCCTCCGTCATCGCTCCCCCCCATTTTCCCTCATCCCTCCCTCCTCGCTCCTCCCCCTCCTCCTCCTCCTCCTCCTCTTGCTCTTCCTCCTCTTCTTCTTCCTCCTGCTCCCTGCTCCCTCCTCCACGCTTCCTCCCTGATCCCCACCTCCCTCCCTGCTCCTTCTTCAACTTCCCTCTTCCATCTGGTCGGCGCGTGGCAGAACCGACGGGGCGGAACTTACAACTGCGCCACTTTAGATGTGTTTTAATCTGCGGGGCGAGAGCGAACCTCTTCCGCTAAACGCTAGGCGGGCTACGCGCAGCTTAATTAGGGAGTCAGGGCACAGGAAGGCGGGGCCTCAGGCGGCCGGAGTGGGCGAAGCCCAGGGTGCAGGCGGTGCCGAAGTGGATGTGCAGGAGCAAGTGCGCCGCGGACCGGTACCCGGGGCGAAGGCCCGGAGGATGGAGGAGAAGGTATTGCCGTCGACGACGCATCGCGAACACCGGCCTCAAGGGCTGCAGACGGGGACGCGCCACTTGACCGGGTCGACGCCCAAGAAGAAACGGAGCACCACGAAGGCGATGTGCAACGTTGTGCCGCCGGGTGATGCGGAAGAGGCCCGGGGTGGTAGTCCAATCCACGACCAGGTAGCAGCTTGCTTGAGGGGCGGCCTCAGACGAGGGGGCCGCTCATGACCGACAGGATGTCGGTGGGCTGCAGGGAGAAAACCCGCCCTGCACCGCCAGCGCGCGAAGACGGGCAGCAGCCACGCACGATGCGCTGACATTCGCATTGCCGAGGGCTGGGCCTGAGCCGCGCAGCGCCGTGGCGAGCGGGGCCGCCGAGGCGGCAAGGCGCAGCGCCCGGCACCGGGCCGAAGCCGCGCAGTGCCGGGCGCCGCCGCCACGGGAGGGGGGGAAGCGAGCTGGGGGGGTAGAAGCGAACAGGAAGGAGAAAGGCCAGCGCGCACAGCCAGCCGTCGACGTGCCATTGTTTTTCCACGGTCAGCGCGGACTAAAAACAATGCGCTGTGCCTCGTGCGGCACCGCGCCCCCGTCTCAGGGGGGCGAGACGGGGGCCCCCGGGCCGCGCGGCGGGGGCGACGGCGACGGCCCCTCCACGCGCGCGCGGAGCTACAAGTCATCGTCGTCGGAGGGGGCCGCTTGGTCTGATGCATCGCCAGGGCCGGCCCGCCCTCCTCGCACGTGAGGTTGGGCTCCAGCGTCGCCGCCCTCTCGCTGAGCAACGCCAGGGGAGGCTGCCACGGCCGGCCCTTCTCGGACGTGAGCCTGACCTCCAACGTCGCCACCAGCATCGCGCTGAGCATCGCCATGGCCAGATGCCACTGCCGGCCCTTCTCGCGCGCGTGGTTGATCTTGGCGCGCTCCAGCTTCTACACGAGCATCTCGCTCAGCAGCGTGGCAGCCTGCTGCCACTGCCGAGGCTACCTCTTCTCGCAGGCGCTTTCCACGGCGCCGTGGGTGATGATGTCGGGCTCCAACTTCGGCTCCGACGTCTCGCAGAGCAGCGGTGGGGCCGGCCGCCACTGCCAGCACTTCTCGCAATCGCTGATCGGGGCGCTGTGGCTCACCATTTCCGGCTCCAGCTTCACAACCCACATCTCTCTGTGCAGCGGTAGGGCCAGCTGCCCCGCGCTGTGGCCCATGATGTCGGGCTCCAGCTTCGCCACCCGCCTCTCGCTAAGCAGCGATAGGGCCCGCTGCCACTGCTCGCCCTTCTTGCGCGCTCTGACCGGAGTGCCAGAGCTCTTGACGGCGGGCTCCAGATTGAACGCCCACATCTCGCTGAGCAGCGATGGGGCCCGCTGCCGCTGCCAGCACTTCTCGCGCTCGCTGTTCTGATCGCTGTAGATCATGATGGTGGGCTCCAGCTTCACCCCCAACCTCTCGCTGAGCCGAACTAGAGCTGGCTGCCACTGCCCCCTCTCGCAGGCGCTGATCACAGCGCTGTAGCGGCCGATGTTGGGCTCCAGCTTCACGACTGCCATCTCGCTCAGCAGCGCCACGACCTGCTGCCACTGCCAACGCCTGCTCTTCTCGCACGTGTTGTTCACGATGCCGTAGGTGATACTGTTGGGCTCCAGCTTCACGACCACGATCTCGCTCAGCAGCGCCACTGCTGGCTGCCACTGCCAACGTCTGCTCTTCTCGCACGCGCTGTTCACAGAGCCGCAGGTGATGTTGGCGGACTCCGGCTTCACGACAACTATCTCGCTCAGTAGTGCCACTGCCCACTGCCACTTCCAACGCATGCTCTTCTCGCGCGCGCTGTTCAGGATGCCGTATGTGATGTTTGGCTCCAGCTTCGCGACCGAAATCTCGCTCCGCAGCGCCACAACCAGCTACCACTGCCAACGCCTGCTTTTCTCGCACGCGCTGTTCACAGTGCCGTAGGGACGATGGCGGGCTTCAGTTTCACTCCCAACATCTCGCTGAGCCGAGCCAGAGCTGGCTGCCACTGCCCCTTCTCGCAGGCGCTGGTCGCAGTGCTCTAGCGGCTGATGCTGGGCTCCAGCTTCACGACTGCCATCTCGCTCAGCAGAGCCGCAACCTGCTGCCGGTGCCAAGGCCTGCTCTTCTTGCACGTGCTGTTCACGATGCCGTAGGTAATGATGTTGGGCTCCAACTTCACGACCACGATCTCGCTCTGCAGCGCCACTGCTGGCTGCCCTTGTCAACGCATGTTCTTCTCGCACGCGCTGTTCATTGCCCTAGGTGATGACAGCGGGCT